GTCAGGGCGGCTAGGGTCTGGAACCAACTTCCAAGAGATGTGGTGCAGGCTCCTACCCTGGGGGTTTTTAAGAGGAGGTTAGATGAACACCTTGCTGGGGTCGTTTGACTCCAGTACTCTTTGCTGCCATGGCAGGGGGTCGGACTAGATGATCTTCTCCAGGTCCCTTCCGACCCTAGAAACTATGAAACTATCTAACCTCTTCTTGAACACCTCCAGTGATGGGGACTCCACAACTTCCCTAGGCTGTCTATTCTACTGCTTCACTATTCTGAAGGGAAGAAGTTTTTTCCAGGTATCTTTTCTAAACTTACTTTGAAACTACAAGCCATTCGTCTGTGTCCTCCTCTACAGCAAGAGAGAAAAGATGCTTTCCGTCTTCTGTGTGGCAGCCCTTTAAGTATTTGAAGACTGCTTGATTTTATATAGGCCGTTGTGCTACATTCTGACTAGGACAGTGACAAAACCATTAGGTCAGAAAACTAATCTGCTTTGGAGGGGGAGGCATGGGAAGGTGGATCACAAAGTGCCTGCTTTGTTTTCTCACTTAGTCATACACAGGGTACTAGATACAGTGCAGCAAAGTAAGCATGGACCAGATTGTTCTTACATGCCCAAGTTTCATAGTTTCTAAGTGATAGACCAGCGATGGTACATATATTTATTTGATTTTCAGTAGAGTCTGCAAATTACTTGTAGTTATAGCAGAAATTGCCTAGTATAGGCTGTAAACTTTATGGTTTTGAATTTGATAGCTGATAAATTTATTGAATGTGTTCATGAATATTTATTGCACTTAAGACCTATTTTTCTCTCTAAGTGCACTTAGTAGTTAATCATGTGCTTAATGTTGACATCTGTGTTTGTACCTGACATCACTGTAAAATTAATTTGCTAATTAATAAGCAACTAACTGTAGAAGATTACATCATGCTCCTTGCATAGTTTATGAACCCTCCATTGTTTGTCAATTACAGTAACATTTTAATATTTATTACTTCAGCATTGTGGATCACTTGTCACTTTTTTTCTTACCAGTAAAATTATCACTGACCACTTGACAGAGTAGGGTGAAGTCTGTTTCATATCAATCAATTAGTATACTAGTTTTCTTTGAGACGGCATGCTCATAAAGGATATGTAAGACTATACATGGTTGCTAAGAGAGATTTTTTTTATTATGTCAGTAGAATAGGATATTTCAACGGTTTATCAAACCCTTCCTTCCCCCCCGCCCCCCTTACAGCCTTAGTGTGAAGATATTTTTTGCCTAGTCAGCTGAATGTGTAAGCCTGTTCTGTCCCAAGTGTGTATGTGCATAAGCCTGACCTATATACTTTCTTGACTATGATAGTATCTACTCTTCATGTTTCA